ATATATCTTTAGAGTTTTTTTTTGGAATTTTTAGAAGTTTAGAGACATTTTCTTTGGTTTAACCAATTTTTTAACTAAAAAAGATTAACACACCTTCAAAAAAGGCCAAACCAGGGCAGGGAGGTAACCTGAACGATTTTGAAAGTTCAAAGAGTAAAATGTTTGATTTTATAATTTGATGAGGAATATCAAACTATGACGACAGTTTCGGAGGCAGAACAAACCTTTTTCATTTTAAGGACTGGCCAGTTAAGTCGTTTTACTAGTAAATGGAATGAATCATGGCCCGGTCCATGGTCATGTAAAACTGGACCTTTTTCTGAATGGGCTGTCTCAAAAGGAGTAAGCACAACCTGGCCTTTTTATGCGAGTTGTCCAGATCCTGACAAATATATTTCTGCAAAAAGGTAAATTTGTGGCCTAGGCAATATGTTATACTCAGATTCACATACTTGCATCAACATTTAATATATCACTGAAAACAAGAGTTTTTTTATACAGATAACACAAGAGTTATTACACAAACTGCCCTTCGATCCAGCTCCAAAAAAGCACAACATGCAGAATTGCAGATGCAACAAGTCGCAGGAGCCTTTGCTCAAAAAAAAAAGTCGCAGAAACCATCAAACATCACGCGTCTGACGGGCTCGGCCCGCGCACACCATGCCGATCTGCACCATATCCTGGGCCGGGAGTTCCAGCCTCGGCAGCGTGGGCCTGCAGTTTCTGCGCAAAAAAGAATTCGTAGATGCCCAGCATCACCCTGCACGGAACGTGCACCACTCCGTTTTTTTCCGAGGAAATAAGAATTATATTAGCTAACAGCTTGGGTACATTAATACGATAAAAGCACTCTGGAATACACAAATATTTAAAAACTGATTTTTATCTAAATTGTACCCACGCTGTAAAGGCCTGTTTGGTTCCAAATAAGTCACATACTTATAAGTTAAAAAGTGAAAAAAGTGACTTATTTTGCCAAACACCACCAACTTATAAGTCACCCCTGCTTATAAGTTTTAAGTTGGTTCACCCCTGCTTAAAACTTATAAGTCACCCTTTTTCGCGTGGGGCCCACACCTTTAATGAGCTTATAAGTCATTTACAACCAAACATGCATGACTTATAAGTCACTGGTTTTCAATCACCTGACTTAATAAGTCATCTGACTTATGGAAACCAAACAGGGCCTAAATAGCTCAAGATCTCAAAACCAAACATGCACGACGCTTTGCAGTATGGATGACCGCATAGGCAAACACTCGGTCAAAAGGACTTAGAATAGATGTCCAACGAATGACGACCAATATTCATGTAGGCGGAGTTAAGAAATTTCTTCTTTCTGGTGTTTTTCCTTCTCTTCTTTCTGCCACCGAAGAATGAGGAAGACTGATCTGAAACTTATTCTCTCTAGTCCTTCATCGTGACCAGATCTAACCATAATAAAACGGAGAAGAGACCGGAGAAAATTATTCTATGGCGGCGACACCATCTCCGCCTTGATGTCGCCGTCCAAAAATAAAAGTCTCCATGTCGTCATACTAGTGAGGATGTTGATGCCGTAGTTGTCGCCCCTATCTTCAACAAAGTCGTTATGTAGAAAACGATTCCACCCTGCCATCTCGCCGTCGCCAGAGAGGAGGAGGAAGAAAATCCCCAAAACCAAAGAACTATAATCCTAAGAACTCAATCTCTTGAAAAAAATACTTATTAAAAACGATGAATTTCCGCTCCCTCCGTCCCCCAACGATACGCCAGAAGAGGAGGGAGGGGGACCAGCTAGGGTGGAGGTGGGGAGCGGCGGTGACGGCGCTCCTATTGGCGAGTCGCGTGGGGTTGTGTGAGGCCCCCCTCCGGATAGATACGGGGATTCTGATCATCAGCCGCAACGTGCACCACTTCGTGTGATATTGATATTGTACCTACATTTGCTGACAGAAGGGAAAGGCCTTCGTAGACCATCTATTGCGGATAGCACTATTAAAAAGATTCACAATTTTAGTACTTTGTCATGTTAACCTATGATTCAAGTTCAACCCAGTGTTACCTGAAATTGCTGGTGTAAGTGTGCCATATCCGATGAGCATGCACATCCCATGGCAATAAACAACAGCATCCTTTTGCGCGAGCCTGCTTGGTTCAAGATATCTTTGCAGTTTACTTGGCTTCTGAGTGCACACTGATAAATCCCCATTGTTGCTCCTGCTGTGCACTAAGGTGACGCTTTTGGATTTAGATTTTTTGTGTGTGTGTGGGGGGGTTCAAACCGACAACAATCATGCACGACGAGGCCCTATTTGGGTCGCTGAAATTTGGCTGCTGCTGATGTTGATTTATTATGAGAGAAAAAACGTTGTTCCTTCGCTGAAAAGTACTGTTGAAATAGTACTGGAAAACAAGGCGAAAATATACATACATGCAAGAGTATACATAATAATAGATAAATGTTTGTGTCACAATACAAAAGAAAACTAAAAAACTTAAAAAAGAACAATATTATAGAGAAAAATGAACAAAATTAAAAATAGCTCTATATCTCTAACCTTAACTTGATCAATCTAATTCTTAGACCAGAAAAAGAATCACGGTAATAACAAGAACATAGGAGATAAAGAAAGACAATAGGAAGCCTAAGCCTAAATTATATAGACGCTATTGGAGATCATTTTAGAGGGAGCAAATAAGCAAATCACTAACTATAACTAGCCAATTAGAGGTGTATTGTGAGGACAAACTAGATGTTGGGTAGATAATAATAAAAAGAACAAAAGAGATGAATAAAGTAGGACCTAATGCTTCATTCTATAAGATGCTACTAGAGATTAACATAGAGGGAGGAAAAAGCAAAGCACAAAAGCATCATTGACTAGATAATTGGACTTGGGTTGCTTGTTTGGTTTGGAATAGGTTGTGAGATTATGGCTTTGTTTAGAGGATCACTCTGAGTTGAAGGTTGCAGGTCTCTGGAGGGATTCTCGATGATGTTTTTTCGCACCATATGTGGTGTTGTGTTCGAGCCACAAACGACACCAAACTATTGGTTAACAAGATAACCTTGGGACCTTCACGCAAGGGACTAAAGGTCCTCTGGCTCTTGAGACAGAGACGGTAAAACTAAACTAATAACAAAGGTGACAACAGAAATGGATGAGTCAAACTTAGGGATGAATTACTATACTTAGGAGGTGTTTAGGACTACTCCGCTCCACGTTTTTTAGCCAAACGGTTCCAGCTCCACGCACTCTATTCGAGGAAAAAGTGTGGAGTTGTGAGAGCACCTAAAGAGGTGCTCCACAAACTCCATTTTTTTTGTGGAGGCGCTCCACGGTGGAGTTTGTGGAGCAATCCCAAACACCCCCTTACTCTATCTTTTTTTATCACAGCTGGATTATTTATAATCTAGATTATATAGAATTATTATGATCAAAATTGTGAACTATAATAATCAGAGTGTTTGGTTTCCTATATTATTACGGTGTATTATTCTTAGTTCAAGTGAAAAGTACTCATAATCACAAATAAAAAGATTCGACGTGGATTATAGGATCATTGTAATATGGTGTTTTGTTGTAATACGGTGTTTTAATTATAATAATCCACCTCATAATTTAACCTATTTGGATCTTAATCAGATTATGTTAGTTGATTACTATAGACATAGTGGATCGAAACATGCGCGAACTTAGGGAATTATTTTAATTTTTATAATGGAAATAGGTTCAGGGGTCACAAAAAATAGGAATTAGAAGTCCTTTAACAATAAACAAAAAGTAGGAAGAAAACAGAAAACGAAAAGAATCGCTTGTTAGGCTAATAATAAATTATTGGGCCTTGAACCTGTTTTGTTGTGAACCGTGTGGAAGGTTCGATTTTCTCTACTAGGGATAATTCAATGTGGGGGGACTGGGGACTCATTAGCTTCACTCTGGGCCAAGTGTTTGGGCTCAGCAAACAGAAGAGGTAGCCGCGGGTCCTAGGCATCTGGCCTTTTTCTGTTCTGAGTCGGACAAGAGAGCAAAGGAAGGAGTCGTGTTTTTTCCTGTAAAAAAACGAATCAAGTCATTTCAGTCTACTATTTTGCTGAGAGTTTCAGTTTTTTTTTTGAGAGAGAGAGAGAGAGAGAGAGAGAGAGAGAGAGAGAGAGATTCGGATATCTAATTGTTTGGTCGTTTTAATTGGATGGCTCATTTTCTCCCCTTCATTAGTTCATTCCACTCATCATTAGTGAGACACTTTCACATTGAATTAGGTGAAAGTACATATTTCATTTGTCATTTGACCATCTTTTATTCTTGTCAATCAGTTCACCGTACTGACTGAATATAACAACTGACAGCTTAAATACCAATTAGATCGTGACGGAACACAGCAACATGCATGCTGCGTGCGTCCATCAACGACGAATGAACACGGCTTTAGCCTAACACACACGACGTACGCGTACAAAAACGACGACGACGGCCACGACCCGCCTACTATACTATTACATCCAATAATAATTAATAAAAATCCATCTACCACGCATCCAGTGACACGGACATAAAATGAAGCAATAATAACCCATAAAAAGAACGAAACAATAATAAGTAGTTGACTTGTACTACACAGGAGAGGCCATCTATCGCAGGAGGCAGGAGCAACATGCTGGATGCCCGGATGTCGTTCACCAACCCGCCGTCTCATCATGTGCTCTCCGGTTCCGATCCATAACTAATAAGTTGACACGTTGACCGACTCCGGGCGTGGCCTTGCACGCTTGCTTGACGAGGACCCGGAGAATTCTTTCAGTAGTAGGTGGAGAACTGAATTCACCCTGAGAAAGAAAAGGTCGCGCATCAAGATAAGAGAAACTTAACGCGTGCGGACCGAGAGAAAACCTGGGGAAAACCGACCGACCGACGACCGGGGATCGAGCAGAGAGCGCACGGAAATTAACGAAAGAGAAGAACCGGGGAAATATATACAGTAATTTAACATAGGAGTGAGTATATACTGACCTACTACTGCTGGGTCTGGGTGTGCGGCGTGGTTGCGAGCGGAGTGTCGTTGTTTGCGACGTCGGGCTCCGGCTCGACGTGGCCTCCGTTGGCCGGGACGCGGTTGCCGCGGCGGCCGCGAGGGGCGCGGTTCTTGCGGAACAGCTGCAGCCTGCACCTGCAGCGCGGCAGCCAGGAGAAGAGGCTCCCCAGCACCCTCTCCAGCACCTGCCCGCGCTTCTGCACGAACGTCTTCTTCTTGCGTGCCCGTGCGGCGGCGGGAGCCATCGGCAGGCGGTCTCTGCCGGCGGCGCAGAGGTGTGGAGGCGCCGCGAGCTGTGGCAGCTACACTTTTGCTTTGGTGTGCCCTACTGCCCTGCCCTCTATGCTTGCAGAGAGCGAGGGTCGGAGGAGGAGAAGCTAGCTATCTATATATGAGCGGCTGGACGGACCACGGTGTGGTTAACCCAACTGGCCGGCCCGATCGATCGCGCGAGTGTGGTTGGTTTCAGGTAGGGCCAGGCGCATGGCATGCAGAGTGTGTACCGTAAGTAATCATTGGTTCATGCATGCATCCATGGAACGGGGGCCGGGTGCGATGATAGACGCTGCTCCAAGCGGCTACTGCTTTCTGTTCTTTGCTTGTTACGGACGGTTGATTTGGCTCGTTAATTAGCACGTCGCGTTCAGCAGCTAGCTAGCTCTTGCGGTTGTCAGCTTGTTGTTCTTCTAGCTACCTACCTACTACAGATCCGGCTTTCGATGTTAAGGACCAATCGCACACATGCATGCTAATTAGCTGCATTGCATTGGACGTACACGGGCGCCCATCGTCGGACATTATTCTCACAACAAGGGCGGACCGAGGGAGGGGTCAATTAGGTTTCACCAATGCGTCGATCCAAAGACGAAAACGCGTCGATCGTCCGATGGTTGTTTCTCGACTGCTTCCCCAGCTGTGTTTCGGCGTTTCCTGCTTGTTTCGCTTCCACGACGATTAACGCGGTAATCTTCTATAAAAGACTATAAAGTTGAGGGGTTTCCCATCGCGGTTACTGTCATCCGAACAGTAACGAACCACGATGAACAGTGCCGAACCCGATAAGGAACAGTACCACTTTTTTTTTTTGTCCTCACAGCGTCCACTGTTGCCCGCGCTAGCGCGGGGTTACCTGCTAGTAATACTTAATACGTGGACACATTATATATTTTTCGTTGAACCAATAGGAGGACGCGATTATTCTACACCACTATATAGCTAGTATATATATTTCTGATCCTATTTATATAGTATGCATTATGTTCATTCATTCTGTCCTTGGTATAAATGTATGTATATAAAAATAGCAATAACGTCAAAAAAATATTTTCAAGGGAAACTATATAGGTATATATTGGTGGCAGGGGCTTGGTTCTATATTTGTTATACACGAAGTCGTCATCACCGGTCTCAACAACGCGTTGTTAGCTAGCCGCGTTATTTCATTCAGAGATCAGAGATACGATTCCTGTCGTGGTTACCGTGTGGAGCACGGGCTAGACAGGCTTATTAGCTCAAGAGACGAGACGCGCTTGCAAAGTTGCAGCAAATCCAAGAACAAGAACCAATTAAGCAGTGGAACGACGATCCAGCATTCTCGATCCACCCGAATCCGCATGCAGCTCTCGTTTTCTTCTTATCTCCTTTATGAGCCGATGAGAAGAGTAACGTCCTCGTCTTCTTCCAGTCACCTGCAGCAGTCACTGTCCGTCCGTCCGTTCTTCGGATCCATCATTCGCCAATGCTCGACACGTGTCCGGCCGCTTCGTCCTAGCGCTCCACACACGCTGGAGACGACGACCGTACGAAGCTGCTGCGCACGCCCAACAAGATTGGTAACAAGACTTGACTGTCCTCGATCGCTTTGTTTAGTGACGAAACAATACTATTATGATTAATAAACACTGAGAAAACAGGGATCGGACCACGGTTTTATTTGAAACCAGGACCAGGTGTGATTTCATTCGCCGGAGAGCAGACACAGACAGACGCGTGGTATCTTAGACTTGTGAGCCTGAGCTTGACTAGCTATACGTACTGCCTGACCCTTCCTGCTAGTTGCACAGAAACTTACTACTAGTAGTATTAATATTAATATATACAGGAGTGCGTGTAGTATGCTAACTAGAGGTAGCACTCTTTTTTTCCACGCATCACGCACGTCAGTTTTTACCGGATTCTCGTTTTTGTTTTCTCCTAACGAAGGGGCACACGAGGATGTGTCTATTTCATTCATCATATTCTCTCGGAATTCAGGACAGTAGGAAAGTACGGATCAAGTACCAACACTTGCGTATAGCCTTCGTCTTTTTTACTCTACTGTTTAGTATGTACTCCCTCTGTCCTAAAATATAAGATATTTTAGTTTTCTCCTAAATATATTATTATTTCTATTATATATATATGTAGAAAAAGAAGTAATTATCTATCTAGAAAAGCCGAAATGTCTTATAATTTACGATGGAGGGTGCCCTAGTGTACTCGTGAACAGCCTCGAGGAGATTTTACATTTTACAAGACATAAGCTGGTGAAGGTAGACAGACCACATCAGAATGTGGAGACACATGGCAGTCATCCTTTGTTGCAAGCAGAGCAGAGCCAAAGCAGCCATGACTAGCGGGATGCCGAAACGTCTATTGGAACAAAAGTTGAGACAAGAGAGAGTTCGCAGTCAATACCTAAACCTGATGGGCCTGGTATTCATCTATCCCTGCAGGGACCGAACTGGAAGAGGATCCATTCCTGGCCACCCACAACTTCTGCACGGTAGCAACAAGCGACCATGCTTCTGCAGAATATTTTAATTTGTAAGCGTCCTCTTTTCGTATGAATGGGAATATGTATAAATGATAACAGAAGGTATGATGGTCCCTCATTTTTTCCCCTCATTGAAGCTCACTACGGGAGAGACAAAATTCCCCGAGTGTCGCTGGCTTCCCCGAGTGCCAAAAATCGGGCACTCGGGAAAGAGAATCTTCCCCGAGTGTTGCACTCGGGGAAGAATTGCACTCGGGGAAGAGAGGCTTTCCCGAGTGCCGCAGAGATCCTGGCACTCGGTAAAGATCAGCACTCGGCAAAGGCCCTCTTCCCCGAGTGCAACACTCGGGGAAGATCGGCACTCGGCAAAGAAACATGTTACTTGACGGTTCACCCCGCCCACGCCGTTAAAACTTAAAAAAACAAAAATTCTTCCCCGAGTGTCAGGAAAGGCACTCGGGGAAGAGGCCCTTTCCCGAGTGTCATAACAGGACACTCGGGGAAGAGGCTGCCTTCCTCGAGTGCCCTGTCCTGGCACTTGGGAAAGGGCCTCTTCCCCGAGTGCCAGGGAAGGCACTCGGGGAAGAATTTTTGATTTTTTTTGTTTTTTTTACCTCATTTTTTGTGAGGCCTTCCCACATTATTTGAAATTGTCAGTTCAAATTTGGGACAATTTTGACTTTTTTTTGTTATATTTCGTTAGTTTTTTTCGTTTCGTTGAATTTTTTTGCATACTTCGAATTTGAGCTGCGGTGCATGAAATAATAGAATTTGGTGATTCAAAAAATTATATTAATGATATTTGGTGTTTTATGCATGATGCCTTATCGAGAATCTTCGCAGCATGTGACGTAACACGACTGAATCGTGATTTTCGGGCTCGATTTTATATAATTTAAATACACTTTTCCCGCAAGTTGTTCGATGTTACATCAACAAGATGTCGACATTTAATGCGAGTTCCTCGGATAAGACCTCTACATACACCAAATATCATTAATTAATTTTTGAATCACTAAATTCCATTATTTCATGCAGCAGCAGCTTAAATTCAAGTACATGCAAAAAAATTCAACGAATTAAAAAAAAACTAACAAAATAAAATATAACAAAAAAAGTCAAAATTGTCCCAAATTTAAACAGTGAATTTTAAATAATGTGGGAAGGCCTCACAAAAAAATTAGGCAGAAAAAAAAAAAAAAAAAATTTCTTCCCCAGTGCCTTCCCACGACACTCGGGAAGAGGTTATTTCAGTGGAGACAGACACTCGGGAAGACTTAAAAAAAAAAAGGCCCAGCAGGCCTTATCTAAACCTAAACGGGCACCCACTGGCCACCCCACACCTTGCCAAGAGCGCGCTTCCAGGACCTGGCCATTCTGCGCAGCCGGCAGCTAGCCCCATTTGCGCCACGCAGGCCGCCAAGAGCGCTCTGCAGAAGCGCCCCAGCCCGAGGCCGAGACGCGGCGCGCCCTACGCGTCGGGGCCCGTCCGGCCGGCGCGCCCCCTCCCCGGCCCCTGCGGCCGGCCCCGAGGCAAGCCGCCTGGCGCTCCCAGCCCCGGCCCCGAGGCAAGTACTAGATTTATCAAATTGCTTTCTTCATTTTCTGTTGCCAATTGTGACTAATTACGACTTGACTTTGCAGGGTTTTTTCGGGTTGTATCAAGGTGCTAGCAATCACGAGGAGCTGCATAATTTGATGAAAGCAACTGTCATGATCCGTAGGTTGAAGAAAGATGTCCTTTCACAGTTGCCTGTTAAACGTAGACAACAGGTAGCCTTGTGGGTTTTTTTATAATCAACATAAGAAATATACATTAATTTTATTCTGTAAATTAGAAACATTCGATCAGTTCAAATCTGAGAATCTGTCTGTAGTAAATTTGAATTTTGTTTAAATCAACAGTTAAAGGTCCTTTGATCACTAGCATAGACCTTTTGAATCAGTGCCTCATTCGTAATTGTTTTCTGAACCTTTCTATGTTGGCTATATGCTTGTTTCTTTGCAATGCTTAAACTGTAACATTGAGAAGATCTGTTGATTCTTTTTGACGATCTTGCACAGTGAGTCAGTAAGATAACCTTTAGGATGTAGCTTTTATGTGAGCTTAGTTCCTGTTATACTGATATTTTTCTTGACTACACACAGATCTATGCTTAATCATTTAATTTTCGTCAACCTTTCAGGTCTTTCTAGATTTAAGTGAGAAAGATGTGAAAAATGTCCGCGCTCTGTTTATTGAGGAATTATCCATTTTATTCTTTGCCTGCAAATCATATATTGTAGAATATGAGAACACAACCAGTTTTAGGTAGCTAAACCTATCTGCATTTCATATAACCACATTATATGGTATCGTATGTAATTGTTTGCACCAGTGAAGAACTTTCACATGGCGTACTGGTTTAATCAGCAGTGAGTTATATGACTGTAATTTAACTAATCAAAAGGTACAAATTGTGAAAGCTAACTAGTTATTTGTTCTCACAT